GAAAAAAAACCAACTTGGGGCCTTTCTTAGCAACTAATCAAGTAGGGCATTAAGGATCACTTTTAGCCATGGTTTTCAAAACTGGACTGATCAGACGGTTGGACCGGAAAAATTGGGAACCGGTTAGGTGATTGGTTTTGGTTCTCTTCATAATCAGATTTTTTATAAAAATTGTTGATTTTGGTCAGCAAACTATTGATCCGGGCAGTTAATCGTTTAAACGGTTTTGACTGTTTTATTTTTTTATCAAAACAGGCCGACTGTTTGACCTGGTAACTGGACCTTTAACCGGTTTGATCTCCGAGTCAGTTCGACCTGGTAACTGGACCCCTGACCGGTTTGATCTCCGGATTGATTTTAAAAATCATGCTTCTACCAATGCTTTAATTTTCAGCTCACAGACAAAATCAATTGTACGCGTGACATACATAGAGGTAAGGTTATAAACGGATTGGATTCATCAAAATCACAGATCAGATTATTGGAATCTTGCACCTGAATCCGAGCAGTTGTGAGTTGTAGGGTTTCCAAGGTTTTGCCATTTCGCCTTGCTTTTCTCTTAAAACAGTCCACCTTACGTCTTAAAAGAAACACCTACGTGGCATACTCGAAACGACAATGCCACGCCACACTATTAAGCATCGCCTATATAAACATATCATCCAAATCTGAAATAATCAAATTGGATGTCAGCTATGGATTTTTGGATATCATTGACTAGAGGTTCTCTAGAGATTTTAATTTTTTCCCTTTTATCTTGAATTGGCTAGATGCTTTTGGTTCATTATGTTGATGAGGTTATTCCTCAGCAAAATTGCTTTATACAAGTAACTTCAAATTATCAAAGTCCCCCCCCCCCTCCCCCCAAAATAATTAAATAAATAGTTCCAGAAGTCAAAACAATAAATAAATAAAAGGGTAAAATGCTGAAACCTATAATGAGGGTTTTGATTGTTGCTAACATATTTGCAAGTAGATCTCTTTTGTTAAAATCATCTAAAAAGAGACATGAAAATGTCCAAAAAAACTCATGCTTTTATTTTCACCAAAATATAAAATTTTCAAAATTCTCTAAATATGAATCGCTTGCCCAAACTCTTTCAATCTCTCTTCTGAAATTGATTTAATTTTCAAATTTGCCCTTCATATCAATTGCTCAAATGTAAAATTGCAAGTTAATTTTTTTTTTACTATTATTGTTTTCCATAGAAACTAATCTCACTAATAATTGTATTCATATTTTAGACATTTTCATATCTCTTATTAGCCGATTCTAAGTTTCTAACAAAAGACATCTACTTGTGACTGTGTTAGATGTTAGGTAGCTGATGCAGGGCTTTGGGTAGGGATATATAATTCTGTGTTTGGTATTACACCTTACAGGTTTTATTAAAAATAAAAAAGAAAGAAAAAAGAAAAGAAAAGAAAACAAGGTTCCTACTTCCGAGTTTCACGTTAGCTTTATCCTTTGTGACGATTAGTGCAGTTCTGGGGAAGAACAGGTTGACAAATTGAACGAACGAGATTGAGATATAAGAGTATAAGACCCTCCAACTTACATAAGAGAAAGAGGAGAAAATTTCCATATTTCTACAGTAGAAAGGAAGATGGTGAGTCTCAACGCTTTCGGAATCGGAGTCGTCTGTGTGGCTATTTTCATCACTTACATAATAATGATGGTGCTGCTGATTCGACTCTGCCGCTGTCTCTTCTGCTACTGCTGCTGCTGCGAAGAGGAGGAGGAAGAGATAAAACTCGACCAACGCCAACAAGTTTCTCTTATTATTGACGGTCGTCGTGGTGGTTATGGTGCCCGCCGGGGCGTCTGAGACTCTCTTTTTCTCTGTGTGTAAGAATTGGCTTTGGCTTTGTATATCCATTGTCTTTAGTTCTTTAGTCCCAATTCCCAAAGACAACTCGCTATGTTTTCTTCCCTGTGTAGTTTCTTCATTTGATTAATTATTTGTTATTTGTAGAAGGGAATACTGCTTTTTGTATCTCATTTTTATGGAGTACACGAGCCTGGGTTTATGCTGTTTTCTTCAACTGAAACTGTTTCTGCTTGCCCAAAAAAATGAAATTCTCTGGTTCTCTAAGAAATTTCTGACTGGAAAGGGGGTTAATTAGTATTAATTTCACCACTGGATATCAAGAAAAAGCTTGTGTGGTGCATGTTCTTTATGAATTTCATCACCGGAGAAGCCTAACTAATCAGGTTACAAGAATCGTTCCCTTTTCCTGAGCTTGGGCGTTTAATCTCAACTCCCAAGAAATCAAAGACTCGTTCCCTTTCCCTTACCACATAACGCCTACGGTTTTGGTTTCTCTCTTTTTTATATTTGATACAGAAATAGACCCATTACCAAAACATATTTGTTTATGAGCCATCGTCAGCTTTGCAATTAAAAAAACAAAAACAAAAATCGTTTTCTCCGTGGGTAGAATGTCAAGCTACCGTGATTATTCTCTTCGTTGGTCTTATAGTTTTATATAATTAGCAAGACCTACCCTATAATTTTCGTATTATGACAGCTTTCTATTTCGCAACTGATTCTTTTGGATGGAAGTGTAAAATGACATTTCTGGCCTTAACATTTGTTTTACCAAAATAATTAAAAGAAATAAATAATTAAAATATCAATTTAAAATAAAAATAAAATAGATAATAATAGAAGAAATAATAAATAAAATAGAAAAAAAGAAGATAATAAAAAATAAAAAAGATAAACAATAGAATAGACAAGAGGGGTGTTGTTTTTGTGGTTTAAGAAAAAGGCGGTTCTGTTTCAGAACCATACCACCTCTTTTTGAAAATCAAAATATTGGTTTTAATCATTATAGGCGTTCTACTATGTTGTGCAAAGAATCACAAAAACACACAACCACCGTTTCGTTTGTGGTTCATCTTTTTGCGTTCAAATACATTGTCAAGCTTTACTATGTGGCTCATGTATAGAAATAAATCATCTATTATTATTCAACTTTGATCATGAAGCTTTTTATCTATCATATGTGAATGTTAAAAATATAATGTCATATGTAAAACTGTAAATAATATGTTCATAAGTATATATAGTTATATATTTTGTATCTGCATAAAATATATATTATATTTTATACCCTATAGGAATATGGCCCAACATATACATCAAAATTGAGATTTTGAACCACATGATTGTGTTGAAAAGGCTATAAGAATGGAGATTTTGTTGGTTCTAGAACCATGTGGCTTTTTGGTTATAGAACTGGCAACAAAATAACAAAATAAAAAGAAAGAAAAGAAATCACACAATCATGCACCTAGTAGTGGGTACACTCAAGCCTAACTGTCAGTTATCCTGTCTCTCTCTTTCTTTATGTCTTTACTTCTATAAACATTAGCACGAGAAGTGGAAACTTATTTGAAATTAAGACTGCATTTGGAAACGATGCAAATGGATTGTAAATCTTGGTTCAGGGTAAATTTGTACTCTCGTTCACTTTTGTTTGTGTTTGGCAACATTACATTTATGTATTGACAAATGACAGACCAATGAATATTTGCATTGATAATAAGATGTAAAAGCACATCAATAAAAAAGAAGTAAATTCTTATTCAAGTGGGCTTTTGATAAAAAAAAATGCATATGCTTTATTGAAATTCATGTTTGTATCCATTACAGCTAAAAGTCTGTTTTGGTAAGAAGGTAAATTTGCCAATGCAAAACTAACCCAACTTTGCAATTTATATGAACCTTTTTACACTCTACATATTTGCATTCACACGTATTTGCATCGTTTCCAAACACAGCCTAAAGTGTATTTATCTGTAATTTATCCTAAACATTTGAAGGTGTAATGGGTTTTGGAACATGAGATTCTAGCAAGGTTTTAAAAACTAACCCCAAAACAGAACCGCTCTGGTGACCGGTTTCCAGAACGGTTTGACCATCTTACCCATTAGATTGGAATATTAGGGTAAAATGCATACTATATAAGAAAAAATAAGGGTTGAAACTAGAAAGAAAATTGTTGGCTGAACTGAAAGAGTTTAGAAGAAGAAGAAGAAGAAGAAGAAGAAGAGGAGGAGGAGGAGGACTTGCAGGCTTGCAGTAGCGACGGCGACGGCGATGGCAAACTATAGCGGCAACAGTGGCGGTGTTCTCAGTCTCAAATCTCACACACTCTCTCTCTCTCTCACCTTCTCGTGCAAGAAAGACAGATCTGAGATTTCTCAGTCTCAAATATGAGATTTCTCAATCTTAGAGATTTCTCAAATCTGAGATCTGAGCTGCAAACCGTTCTCCAGGTCAAACGGTTTACTGATCAAACCGTCTGGATCAATGGTTCGTTGACTAATCCAATGGTTTTTGACCAAATGCCGAGTTTAGATAAAACGAAACCAGTCGCCTGAACGATTTCCAGTCCAAACGGTCGGTCCGACTGTCTAAATCAACAACGGTTCTTAAACATTGGATTCTAGTGTGATAAAAATGTTATGATATATTCAACTCCAGAACACACTGTAGCCCATACCAGAACTCGCCACAGCATAAAAGAATGCCATTCTTTGTGAT